CATGCTTAAGTATCTGGGAGTGATGATCGACGACCGGCTAAACTTTAATAGCCACATCGAATATGCTTGCGAGAAGGCGGCGAAGGTCATCAACGCAATAGCCAAAATCATGCCGAACAATTCTGGTCCAAGCAGCAGCAAGAGACGTCTTCTGGCTAGTGTTTCCTCATCAATACTAAGGTACGGAGGTCCAGCCTGGATTGAAGCGCTGAAAACGAAGCAGAACCAAAGGAAATTGAGCAGTACGTTCCGGCTCATGGCCATGCGAGTCGTGAGTGCGTACAGAACCATTTCGATGGAGGCAGTATGCGTTATCGCCGGTATGATCCCAATCGGCATCACCTTGGCGGAGGACTACGAGTGCTATATGACGAGAGAAACCAGAGGAGTACGAAAAATGGTGAGAACGGAGTCGATGGCTAAGTGGCAGCAGGAGTGGGATGCAGCAGAGAACGGTAGATGGACACACAGGCTAATACCGACTCTTTCGACCTGGGTGAACAGGAAGCATGGAGAAGTCAACTTCCACTTGACGCAGTTCCTGTCTGGTCATGGCTGCTTCAGGAAGTACCTGCATCGGTTCGGACACACAACGTCACCCTTCTGTCCGGAGTGTGGGAATGTGGAAGAATCACCAGAGCACGTGGTCTTCGAATGTCCTAGATTTGATGATGTGCGAGAGGATATGCTCGCCCTTAGCACGGAGAATGTCGTCGAAGAAATGTGTCGAGAGGAGGGCACCTTTAACGCCGTCAGCAGAGCAGTAACGCAGATCATGTCAGCGCTGCAGCGAAAATGGCGGGAAGACCAACTAGAAAGTAGTAATGTGCTCACACAAGTGCGAACTGAAAGCCGAAGCCGGGAGAACTCTCCGTCAGAGTAGGCTGTATCCACCACCAGGGATAACCGAGTAGAACGTGACGCTGGGAGATAAATGGCTCACAAATTGGAGAGACGATCAGCGAACTGGAAGCGCCAATTAGCTGAGGTAAAGTGAGGTGCGTAATGCACGGCCCCCTCCGAAGTAATACGACAAGTGGTTCCGGGGGAAAAGGGCAAGGCGTCTAAGGAGGTTTTAGTGCGGTAAGAATCCCACACACCGTGTCACCGCGACTGTGCGCCCAGTCGTCAAGCGGTGGCACGATGGCCTTTTTGAAGGTTTCCTCCTTGCCAAAAAAAAAAAAAAAAAAAAAAAAAAAAAAAAAACACACACACACACACGCAATGTCATGGATAACAGGTCCAGCAATGTGGATTTATAGTCTCTTTCACTCTCCCGCTGTTCTTATGTAACGGAGAGTTTAACGTCAAACAATTCGTTACATAATAACAGTGGGAGAATGAAAGAGACGAAAAATTTGCATAGCCAGAAGAAATTTTCCGAGTTTGGGCCGGGCGTGCACTGAAGGGTGCAAAAATCGTTCCGCCGGTCAGCAAGAAAGAAGCAGTCGCAGCAGTAGCACCACTGGGTGGAAGAAAAAAAATACGTGAATTTACGTTTAATACGTGAATATTAATATGCGAAGTGATGTTGAAATTGGGATTTGCTTGAAGCATCCTATTCCACAACCCAACCCGGACTGATTTGGCGATTTTCTAATTTTATCTATTTAAACTTTATTTCTATGAATCCGAACATATTTGATTCGGGTGATACTGTTTCTTTTTATTCGTTTACATTATATTTCAATAAATATTCTTATAAACTTTACCAAGTAAGATCCCAAAATTAAGATTGAGGAGCTCAGCTAACTTTGTGGCTGCCGCTTTTGCTTACTGAGTAGAAGATCGTGGGTTTACTCCCAAGCTCCTCCAAAATAAAACAATCACTATGGTTGCATCGCTTGCTTAAGCGAATCCTGACCTATCTCCTACCCAACTATCCAACTCCGTAGCATCTATGAGCCTCTAGCCTTCTGTTAAGTAGATATTACATCAACAATATCCTCCCTTTCCCAGTAACGGAGAAAATGGGCGTGGCCGGCAATGGTAATTGTCATGCTTTTCCTGTTCTGAACTCAGATTGGAGAGCTATTCACTCCCAAATAGTTTTCCTCAAGCAATTAGAATAAGCACGTTAAAGTAGATACGTTACAGTTGCCAGTATGCAATCTACGAATTACTCTGTTACAAACGCAACGCAACTTTAGACCAAGTGCTCCGCACATACCTACAAGCCCATATATACGCCTGTAGGTATACATGGAACACTTGACCAAAAGTTAAATAATAATAACTTTTTGCGCAGAAGTCAAATCGATTTGCGATCTTAGACAAAGTTCAATCAATTAAAATCACAACTCTCAGATATTCTCTCAAATAACAGACTGTTATTTATTCAAGATTGATCATGTATAATTTTGAAGATCTTCATCTGCCCAACATTTCAAATCACATCCCTCAGATATTCTCTCAAATAGCAGGTTGATTAGAAATCATTCCAAAGACCTCCAGGTGATCAGACATGTCTTAAAGTTCTCAAATATTTGTTTAAACTTCAGTTTGATCAGGTATCATTCTAAAGGAAGGTGTTCAACTGCACAACAATTCAAATCACCTATCCCAGTTATTATTTCAAATACAAGGTTGCTCAGAAATTATTCGAAAGACCTCCAAGTTATCTCACATCTCCAAAAACTCCCCAGCGATTTTTTTTGAAGACTGCAGCTGAAAAAGGTATCATTTTAAAGATCTTCATCTACCCAACAATTCAAATCACATATACCTACTATTTGAGAGAATATCCTAGAGCTCTCAAATAGGAGGTTGTTCAGAAATTACTTCAAAGACCTCACGTGATCATAAAACTCCAAAAAGTCTTCAAAATATTTGTTCGAGACTTCAGATTGATCAGGTGTCATTCTTTATTAAGCTGCACAATAATTCAAAACATATTTCCCAGATATTCTCACAAAATACCAGGTTACGCTGAAATTATGCAAAGACCACCAGGAGATCATTTTAGAGATGAACTAACCTAAGGCTAAAAATCTCTTTAATAAAGAATTAAAAAAAAACCAGGAGATCATAGACCTCCAAAATATCATCAAGATATTTTTCAAGCTTCATTCTGAAGATTTTCAACTGCTCAGCAATTCAAATCTACCTCTCACCCTTGCAGGCCTGGGTTCAATCCTAGTCGGCGCTGCCGGGATTTTCTGAGGCATAACATCTCTGATCACGCCTTCCTTCGGAAGGAAAGTAAAGCCGTTGGTCCCCGCTTCATGAGTTAATGGATTGATACGTAGGGTCCAGGTATGAGAGCTGCCTCCCTGGTGTCGGTAGCATTGGTGATCATCACAGAAAACAAGAACGACGGAAAACATATCAAGGAAAAAAATTCAAATCACATCTCCAAAATATCCTCAAAGATTCCAGGTTACTCAGGAATTATTATAAATAACACCAAGTGAAACGAGATCACCTTGATTACCTCATTATATTTCTTCAAGAATTTAGATTGATCAGGTGTCATTTTAAAGATATCCACGTATCCCATAATCCATATCCTATCTCGCAGATTTTCTCTCATATGAAACACGGCAACTTAAATAATTGTTCTAAAGTCCTTAATGTGTTTTAAGATCTTCATAAAGTCGTCTGGATATTTTTTTTAATAATTCTGGTTGATCAGGTACTATTGTACTTACAATGTGGCTTCGAAAATATTCCAAAAACCATCAGGTGATCAAAGATCTTTGTTTTCTAGGCTTCTGGTTGAACAAGTTATGATCTGAAAATCTTAAACTATACAACAAATTAAATCAAAATTTCAACTGTGCAATGAATCCCTCACAGCTCAGGATGGTATGGGTTGGTCACCTTAGGATGCATTCGTCATCTGACCTTTTCTTTATCACTTTGTTTATCTCCTTATTTATCAATGGTTGCTGCATTTACCCTATGCTTCTTGTTTTTACATAATCAAATCGAATCGAATACTACAAAAAAAAATATGGCTCCGGATAATCGAGTCATTTTCTTCGGAAATCGAACCCCCGGATAACTGAGTCTGACCTGTATAAGATATAGGAAAAACGTGGCGAAAGGCAGAGAGGATGATTTTGACGTGACGTACTAAATGGATCCTCTCGAAAAAGAACACAAACCGAAAAAAAACGTATTCAAATTCATAAACGATGTCAAAACACAAATGGTTTTTATAGTTATTAAATGGAATCGCAAAACAAATCAACCCAGCCCAAAAGCTTTTCATAAAGTCTGCCATTCAAAGATTTGATTTATGATGAGTAAATTTAAATGTTTTCGTCAATTTGATTGAAAAAATGGTTTGAAATTGCAGCAACTTTTTAATAATTTCAAAATCATGCTGTTTTAGAAAACAGTTAGTTAAGCTCAATATAGAATATTTCATGACGTATGACCAACCCATCAAAGGACAGCCCAAGACCTACCGGTGAATCACAACCCGTAGAATGAGTAACGCTGTAATCGATCATCAATGATATGTCCTTTTCAGTAGCAAACAGAGTTAGACAACTACCTTGAAATTGTCATTCGTGTTGGAAATGTTATACATTTTTACGAACACAAGTATGTAAATGACGTCATGATCATTATCGGGTCAACTAATCACCCATTGGCCATTCCTACCTAAGTTTTGGATGATCCCTTTTTACACGAGCGAAACTGAAGAGGAGAAAGATGTATCGTCACGTGCCAATACAATATTGATATTGTAGTGTTTTCAAAGCAGCAGAGGACTTGTTTGAGTATCATTTTTGCCGTTAAATACAATCTACAATTGCACTATGGTACTTTTATTTTCAAATTGGATGTTTAACATGCCGATATAATTGCATCTTCCATAAACCAATGCTGAAAAATTAACAAATATACCAACCACAAAACCCCAACGAAGGTAACGTGTTCTATGTCACAAACCGTACCTGCTATGCCTATTGATGAGGTACTTTGGGAAGTACGTTTCGTGCACAGATCACCAGTTCGTGTTGTTATTCTGAGCTAGAAGGTTGTTACGATAAAGTGCTGCGGTAATTTACTGACAAACAACTATGTCATCATCTGTAGAAAGTTTAGAAAGGTGAGTCAAATTTCGTTGCACCTGATTGAATACAAATGTTGATATAATCTTTTTGATTTCAGGACATATCAAGATGATTATGAACCATTCGAGCATCGTAAAATTGAGAAACCAAATACGTAAGTGGCAATGACCCTATCACAAATGTGAAGCTCTGACGAGATTAATGCTTTTCAGAACTATTGGCAGCTTCATTCACATAATTAAAGGGTCTCTCGGGACAGGAATTATGGCTATGCCGTTGGCATTCAAGAATGGTGGTTTGTTGATGGGATCAATAGGAACCGTGGTGATTTGTGTTCTTTATACACATTTTATTCATTTACTGGTATGGCTTCTATCATTAGATACGGAAAACTAGGACCTGAAAGTGATTCTTATTTGTAGGTTAGTACATCTCAGAAAGCATCCAAACGGAGCCAAGTGCCCATGCTAGGATTTAGTGAGACAGCGAGAGACGTGTTCAGTAAAGGACCTACTTGTGTGCGACCTTACAAAAACTATGCATCGTTAGTACTAATTCATCATAACACTTATTCAATTTTGTAAAAATGAGATTTTTTCTGTTCCCAGGGGATTCATCGATTGGATGATGGTGATTGATAGCTTTCTAACGGCTTGTCTGTACATTGTTTTCATTTCAAAATCACTGCGGGACGTGCTTCACAACCAACTGCAGATCGATTGGGATACACGAGTTTACATATTACTGCTTCTCGTTCCATTGCTAATCATTATCCAAGTTCGAAAACTGAAACACTTGGTTCCGTTCACGGCGGTCGCCATCACGTTGATCATTACGTCAGTAGGAATTTCGCTGTATTTCGTTTTCAGTGAACCAATCGTTTTATCCGATAAAGAACTGTGGCCAAAATGGACAACTATACCGACTTTTATAAGGTAAGATATTCAAGTGAAACAATCACAAACAAACTTACACGATATCGTCACCCAACAAACAGTACCGTTCTCTTCGCAATCTCCGGAATCAACACAGTTCTACCGGTAGAAAACAATATGAAACATCCAAAGCACTTCCTGCGCACATTTGGAGTCATGCAGTGCGCCTTTGGATTCCTAACGGTTTTCTACGGAATAACAGGATTCTTCGGATACGCTAAATATGGAGAGGCTACCATGGGATCCATTACACTCAACTTGCCAAGCGATAACGGGTAGGTTTCACTTCTCAGCATTTCCATAACCCTTAAATGAGGTTTGTTTTTATTTTTGCAGTTGGGCAGAGACAACCCGATTGATCTCAGCAATGGGCATCTTCGTTGCTTTGGGATTTTCCCTCTACGTTCCGTTGGAGATCGTGTGGCCACAGGTCGAAAGCAGAGTACCTCTGAAATGGCACAACTGGGGACAGATAACGATGCGTTCGGTGCTCGCGGTTGCCATGATCGCAGCAGCATTCATTGTGCCGGAGATCGAGCCATTTATAGGACTATTGGGATCGTTCAGTGTAGCAGCTCTGTCTATACTATTCCCGGTGGCCATGGATTTGATATTCCGATGGCCGAATGACTTCGGAGTTTTTAAATGGCATTTGATAAAAGATATTCTTCTGTGCGTGTTTGGGCTTTTTGTGCTTATCGTTGGGACACATTTTAGTATTTTGGACATCATTGATATATATCAGTAAACGAACGAGTGTTTTTAAGGTTGTATATATTATGCTAGAATAGAATCGCATCAAAACAAATAAAGTATTATCAGACAAAACTCGATTGCTCAATAAAAGTTTGAGAAAGCAAAATAAAATGCATTCAGCAAGATCAGTTTTCCCAGTTGCATAACCAAGTAACATTACATTTTTTTATGGAGGTTGTAAAGCATCCCACAAGTCTAAATCATGATTTACAGAACTCTCATAGAACGTGGGATATAAACTATCGGCCATTGGCCTTTAGCGTATGTGTGAGACCCTATACAAACCTTAATCTTAAGTATGGCATAAGGATGATTAACCGCCCGCGGTTGTTTCTCCAATATCACCTGTAATTACACAGAGAACCAAAAAATGATGCTTGGAACTAGCAATCATCCTCCATGGGTAGGAATGTGTTGACGTGATAACCGAGAAATTCTCTTTACTTCCTTAAGAAATCACTGCGCTGGCGGATAAAATGTAGGTTTTGTATAAGGGTACATTGTACATACAGGGCCCTGAGGATAAACCCACCACCCTTCTATTACAATACACCATTTAAGATCGAGTTATTGGTGTAACACTTTAAGATTCAAACCCGGTGCTGGTGACGACAAGAAAAGCAAGCAATATGATGCTAAAACTCGTTAATATGAAGGGGCCTGAAATTAAACTCATATCACCATTTTAACCCGACATCCGTATCTGTCATATAAAACACAACGAAAAGCAATGTGAACATGAGTAGAGAATATGAGTAATGATGACCATACAATTCGCAGCCTCTACATCACGACTAACCAGATCCAGCAAAGTATACACAAATAAGCAAATAAGCAGGGCTTAAGATTAGCAATCCATCCTCAGTGTACAAACTCCAGTACTTTCAAAATAAAGAACGGTCAATCGGGAGAGGATTATTAGTTCGACATCCGGTCTTACAAGAAGCCGAGTATTCCTCTGCACTTCACGATTGTCACAGAAAGGACGATTTTGATACTTAAGGAGGGTGAACTAGATCTGGATTAACATTAGAAAGCGATGTGATCTTTTCAACCATGGTAAGGAAATGATGCAAGGATGCGACCCTATCAATTCAGTAATGCAAGGTAAGTAAGTAAGTGAGTATGTAAATATGGAAGCATCCGATCCCTCTAACTACAACAAACCACTATGACTGGCAACCAAGCCCGGAGACATGAAGCTAGGAAAAAGTCAACTTTTCAAAACACAACAATATTTGATCGCGATCCCGGCATCTACGTCTTCACTGTGGTGCAAATCAAAAAAATGTGTGAAGGAGTAGTATCAGGTTTTAAACACTTATGACTTAGCCATTATTGGTTGGATTTCAATTCTTTTCACTCCATTGGATTCAGAATTGATGTAAGATTGGTTTTGTATATATATTATAGAATTTTGTCACCGACTGCAAGGTGAAATTTGATAGAATCCACAAATAGCCGCTATTATGCCTAGTTTGCCTTACCATTACCAATTTTGATCTGGTTGATCTTGTAGACCATACAATCAGAACCCTTGAACGATTTGGAAACCCTATAAAATGTAATGGTTGAGAAAACCTATCCAAAACGATGATTTTGGGTTTCATGAACCCAAATGCGTATGTATCTCTTCTAAGAGTATTGAACTTGTCTAGGTTGATTTAATAGATCACATGTTTTGAACACCAAGGACTTGTAACTTATAATTAATTGATTTACAAATTACAAGTCCTTAGGGCTTAAGATAGCCAGATAGTCAGATAAGAGGTGATGGAACATCTTTCGGGTTGGAAATGTTCTCAACTACCCTGGGCATACAAAGAAAAAATTCAGAACTTTACCACCGCGTAAAATATCCCGTCGTTAAATATTGAGCTAAGATGATAATGATGATATGGAACTGCCACCCACTGTATCAAGACAACCGTCAGTAGACTGTGGACTATCCTCGCTATTAGACGTGATCAAGTTTAGTAACCTCTAATTGTACTCAACCTGTCATTGTATGAAAGGCCAAAACGGTGAATCCGTAGGCAACATCGCCCACGTGCATCCACGGGATAAATGAGAATCTCCTTCCAATGAAGAGAATAGCCCACCCTCTATTCACGAAATGCTAAAGATAGGGAGTTGACAGTTCCACTCTTCCCATCCATTTCGCTTCAATTGCGTGACCCTCCCGTGCCCAGCATTTAATATTTCATATAATAATGACATGAAAGTTAAAAGAATAATAAAGGAACCTGATATGTTGCCAATGAATTCATGACATCACGATGGTTTCAAAAAGCTCCCATAGATATGCAGCCGCTACTTCTTAAGCCGGTTAAAACAGCATTCTTGCCTTTCCTTGCTCACACAGCAGTGGGAACCGCCAACACCCACGAAACACACTTTAGCTGCTCCGACTAGACAGATTAAAAAAGGACTGCGACCACTTTCCATTACCAATCACTGCTGACCAGGGGTTGAAACAGTTGACGTTTTTTACTATACTCGCTTCGTTGTCGTGCGCGACAGTCTGTTTGTATTCGAACACTCATGCTCTACCGTCGTCTCTCTCACGCAACACGAGCGGTAGAATAACATTCGAGCTAAAAGAAAATTATCAAAATAGCTATCATATGACATATGTGATTTCGTTGTAATTCCTTAATTTGGTGTAAATCAAACCATTTCTGATCAGAAATATTATTACTAGGACATCATTACTTGCTATTTTCAGAATTCACACAAGCACAACATCGGCAGCTCTTATAATGAGAAAAACTAAAATACATACATTCGTGACGGTCTTCAACAACAGTGTCATATGACAGAGCCTGTCGTATGACATTTGAGTTTGGTACTGTACTATGATAGCTTGTTTTGCAATTGTCGGAGGCAAAGGCAGTCAATTATCACAGAGAATGTGTCGACTACCGTGACCGCTTACAAGACTGCTGCTGACACATCGGCTTCAGTACACAGTCTGGAAGATGCAGCGCCAGCCCCTCACCGGCCGAATCAACTCTCAACCAACGCCGAAATCAGAACGGACAATTCCAGCGACCGAAAACAAACGTGTCTATTAGCGGCCACGGCATACTTCGATTACATTTCTAAATCACAACCTTAACGCACAAACATGATGACTTTACAAGCTGATTCAAGCGAAACTGCGTTTGAATTTACATAAAATATCGTGTATATTTACGCAAAATCTCGCGTAAGCTACGTGTGCGCTTAAATATCGCAGATATTTACATGATTTTGTCAAACGGTGTAGAATATCATTGTGCTTTTCACACAATATACAAATTCATACAGTGATTGGCATGGAAAGCTCTCAATTAATAACTGTTAAAGTGCATGTAGAGCACTAAATTGAGGGTCGGCAACTTATAAATACTTATTTCTGACCTGATACCAAAACTTGGTGTTGATCAGCCTAACATAAGAGGTAAAATACCAAAGGATAATACTAAAAACTGCATGCAAAATACTTTGTAAATAGCAAAAATTGATATTTGGATACCAAAATAATACCTGTGTGGTATTGTTATGGTATTGCAACTGCATAATTTGGTACTGGAATGGTAATGTGGGAACATATTTTTGCTATTATGTTGTGATATTTTACCAAAAAATACCATACTAACTTCAGTTCCTCCTAGAAGAAGAAGAAGCCCTTAAAGCTTCAGATTGCTTAGTTGGTAAAGGCAAAGTATTACCAAGCCGGAGGTGTTGGTGAATTCTCGGTCCAGTCTAGGAAATCTTCCAGGTTGATGTTCTCTGAACATAGAATAGAGCGTCATTGTGCTTGCCACACAATATACAAATTTATGCATTGGTTGCGATAGAAAGTTTTCAATTAATAACTGTAGAAGTGCTTCAAGAACACACAATTGAGAGCAGGTGATAGCTCGTATAAGAGCGTCAAAGGCACACGCAAATCAAATTTCTCTTACATCCAATGTTAGGTTTGATTTATTACATCTTCTACATATGTTTCATAAAAAAAATGTAATGGCAGTTCTTACAGTGGACTGCAACGTACAAGCAAGTGTGGCATCCGGGGTAATTAATATTTTTGGGGGGCCCAACTCGCTTCCAGCGAGTCAGCCCCAGATGAAACTTCACCGATAACTTATCGGTACGTGGATGTGATATCTTTGTACAACTGGACACAACCGGTGTTGGAGTTAGAATGTCCTGTCTTTATTTCTATGCATAGTAACCAGCTACCTGACTTGAAACATGCTGACGAGGAGTCATTTTTAGTTGAACAATTTACGGTGAGACACGATGGAGGCAATCGTTCCCATACTTGCTGGTTATGCCAAAATGCTGACTTAAGCAGACACTGAAGTAGCGTTGCTTAATGTGTCTATGTTAAATTTTGATGGAAGCATGTAGGTACACTACACAAGCCTATCCAGAAAGAATATTGTTGTATAAAACCTTCGCGAGATGATTTCCTAGACGCAATGCATTTGGGGAAACAAATTTTGTTTGAACTATCATAAAAAATACAAAATTATTTTAAAAACCTTCCGGCGACAACATTACAGATCTGTTCATGTTGTAAAAGATTTAAAATTCTGCCTACTTTTCATGTTAATTTGTAATAGAATCTTACATTTCCCGGTTGGGTGCAGGTACAGGCCCCAGGACGATTTGAAGAGTCAGACGACGTCTTATTGAATTTTTCTTAAATGTTGTATCATAGACCATAGACCAGACTTCACAATTCATGTGGATGGTCATATATGAAATCCCGAATACTTTGGAAAGACTACGACATGTGATTATCAGTAATACAGATCTCATCAACCATTAATTGCAACCACAATGGAGGATTTTTTTTCTACGTTTTTTAGGGCCAAATTTCATGAGGTTTTGGAGATCTAGGTTGTCAATCTGGCTGTAAACATGCAGTATCATAAAGGGCGAACACGAAATTATTGCGACACCGAAAATGTCATGCCAATTTTCTTATAATGTTTAGAATCAAACCAAAATTTTAGGGTAGTTTTATACATATATTTACTTCAAAAATCAAAAGAAAAGTTAATCGATGGAGCCTTGAGTGTAAAATTGAACGCATTTTCGCTTGATGCCCTCCATCAAAGTCTTTACAGTGTCATCCGGTACCAGTTTCTCAGTTTTTTTTTTTCCATTTTCTTAACATGTCCTTCTCGTCTTTGACTGTCTTCTTGCTCTTCCGAAGTTCCCGCTTCATTATTGCCCAGTACTGCTCCACCGGGCACAGCTCCGGACAGTTTGGCGGATTCATGTCCTTTGGAACAAAATGGACAGAATTGGCCTCATACCACTCCAGGACACTTTTAGAATAGTGGCATGATGCCAAATCTGGCCAAAATAGCGGAGCTTCGTCGTGCTGCTGCAAGAACGGCAAAAGGCGCTTCTCTGGCGAGATGGACCGTCACACGGTCTAAGCCAGGGAAAAGAGGAGCAGCAAAAAAAAAAAAAAAAAGGCGCTTCTCGAGACACTCAGATTTGTAGATCTCGCCATTTACTGTGCCCTTTGTCACGAAAGGCTCACTCCTCAGTCCGCAAGAGCAGATGGCCTGCCAAATGAGATATTTGGAGGCGAACTTCGACATTTTCTTCTTCTTAAATTTGTCGTCCACATCGAACTTGCTCTTGCCGGTGAAAAACTCCAACCCCGGAATTTGCTTAAAATCGGCCTTTATATACGTTTCGTCGTCCATCACACAGCAGTCATATTTTGTCAGCATCTTCTCGTAGAGCTTCCGTGCCCGAGTTTTAGCCGTCGATTGTTGCCGCTCATCGCGGTTTGGGAAGTTCTGTACCTTGTATGTATGTAGTCCAGCTCTCTTCTTTGCATTCTGGACGTAGCTCTGCGACATGCCGATCTTTTTAGCCAAATCACGGCTTGAGACGTTGGGATTTGCTTTAATCATCCGCTTCACCTTTCCCTCCGTCTTTTTGTTCTCCGGTCCCGGTTTTCTTCCAGCTCTTTTGCCGTGGTCCAACGTCAACCGCTCCTGGAACCGCTTCACCACTCTGGAGACGGTTGAATGGTGAATGTTCAACATTTTTCCCAACTGCCGGTGCGACAGGTCAGGAAATTCCAGGTGTTTGGAAAGAATTTGTTCTCTCAACTCGCGTTGGTTCACCTCCATTTTCGTTGAATCGAAAAACACGTCTTCGAGTTTGACAGCATGTACACAATACACATCAATGAGAAAGTGTGCAAAATTTGGTTGATTTTTACCCAATGGTAAAAAAGTTATGCCCTGTTGAATGAGTCGCAATAATTTCGTGTTCGCCCTTTATTTTTCCTATAAAGCCAAAGATCAAACGTTCTGAAGAATGCATGTTACTATTAATCACCTGTAATTTTATACAACCAATCATAGGACGTCTCAAAAGGGTTAACGCAAATTCCGAGATAAAGAACTGTATCATCTATTGACAAGAAAATACAAATTGAAATGATCAGATGAACTTCTTGTTATAAATACATACTATCACCCTTATCAAAACATGTCATAACCGGTGGTAGTCAATCACAAATCAATAAAGATTTGATAGTCCCACTTCCAACCCAATTTATTCCAAATAACCGATTACTACTGGCGTCATTTGATTGCCAGTGTGCCAGTAGCGACCGGTCTGCGAGTAGCTGCAATGTTTTGGTCATGGCATTGCGTTTGCCGCACACAATATTATGCAGATCGAAAACGGGCCAGCGCAAAAAGTAAAATTGAAAACCTTGATATCAGCCAATCACACTCTTGCCAAACACACTCTTTGGTGTGCAGATATTATTATAAGCAATCGGCCTCCAGCTCCGAGTCATTTGCGAAGTGTTTACGCTCAGTGTACAGATCACCAGTAAGTGTTTATACTTCAGATTGGGCGGTTGTTTTGAACGAGGAATTGTGATTTGTTAACGGGAAGTCATGTCGACATCGGCAGAATACTTGGAAAGGTAGATAAGACTTATGATGCTTTATGCATATGTAGCATATTAAGTAACGAAAGTAAATTTTCAGGAAAGAAGCGGACGATTACGATCCATTTGAACATCGGAACATCAAAAAGCGAACCACGTGAGTAATGTTTGTGAAGTCAAGGCTTTATTTAAATGTCAACAACATAAAATTATTTTAGAACCCTCGGAAGCTTCATTCATATGGTTAAGGGATCATTAGGAACAGGAATTATGGCCATGCCACTGGCATTCAAGAACGGTGGTCTAATATTTGGTTCAATAGGAACTGTTCTAATATGCACTATCTATGCTCATTCTGTTCATTTACTGGTATGATTCGAATTTATGTGTGAAGTTTGAAAATGCCTTTTAACTTCAACCTACTGTTTTGCAGGTCGGTACATCTCAAAAACTGTGCAAGAAAACTCAAATACCGGTACTAGATTACGCTGGAACAGCCCATAAAGCTTTCGATACTGGACCCCCTCGGATACGACCACTTGCAAAATATGTGTCGTAAGATCTCAAATTCCTTTACACATATAATTTTAACATGCTTATTTCCATCACTTAGAGTGTTCATCGATTGGATGTTGGTAATTGATAGTATCCTGTCGATTTGCCTGTACATAGTCTTCATAGCGCAGTCAGTGCAGGATGTAATTTATAACCAACAGGGACTTGATTGGGACACACGAATCTACATCCTGCTGCTTCTGATTCCAATCATTGTGATCATACAAGTCCGAGAATTGAAGCAGTTAGTTCCATTCACAGCGGTAGCCAATATGCTGATCATTGCCTCCTTGGGGGTGTCTCTGTATTTCATCTTTAGTAAACCAATTTCACTAACAGGCAAAAATATGTGGCCCCAATGGACAACTATACCTACTTTTGTAAGGTAATAACCCAATATCGACTTAATCGTAGAACAACCCAATCTAATGAATCGTTTGCTTAACAGCACTGTACTGTTCGCGATCGCAGGCATCAAAACAGTTCTGCCGATAGAAAACAAAATGAAACACCCAATAGACTTTCTGCGCCCAGCGGGAGTCATGCAAAGTGCTCTTGGGCTTCTCACAATGCTCTACGGGGTGACTGGATTCTTCGGATACACTCAGTATGGAGAGGACACCAAGGGTTCCGTTACTCTCAACTTGCCGAGTGATAGCGGGTAAGTTCGACCAAAATATCTATATCAGTAGATGAAAGTCAATGAAACTGTTTTGCAGATGGGCCGAAACCACCCGGTTGCTCTCAGCCATCGGTATCCTTGTTTCTCTGGGATTCACCTTATACATCCCGATGGAAATCATCTGGCCACGATTGGAGCAAAAGATTCCGCTAAAGTGGCACAATTTGGGACAGATTACCATTCGATCAGCACTGGCGATTTCTATGGTTGGATTTGCCCTGGTTGCTCCGAAAGTGGAATCATTCATTGGATTGCTGGGATCCTTTGGAACCGCTATACTGTCGGTTTTGCTTCCAGTTACTGTGGATTTGCTGTACCGCTGGCCAAACGATTTCGGCCGCTTCCGGTGGAAGTTGGTTAAAGACATCATTCTGATATTGTTCGGACTTTTCGTCCTTATCGTAGGTACGTATTTTGGAATATTGGACATTGTTGCTATTTACTAGTGATGAAACAATCATTTTTACAATAAGTAAAAATAAAACAATCATGAATTGTTGACTAATTCCTGTTATGTATTTATTTATTTATTTGTGAGAACATCAACAGGCTCTTGCCTTATATTTATCACCTAAGCATCGAAGGTCCATTGTTTGAAGCATGGACAAAAAAGGAGTTTGTGGTAATTGCAAACTCGATCCCGTCTAAAGACTTGTTATATGTAAATCCAGGACCGGATTTGAGGAAGGTAAAGGGGGTAATTGCCCCAGGCTCCTTGGCTAAGTGATTGAACCGGCCGTGAAATGTGCACAACGACAACAAATGATGCACGTCCCCGTCAAGAATTGTTAGTCATGTGTAAGTTGACTCAACTAGTGAATTTCCATTGTAGTTGATAAGATTTATGACAACACGTTTAAATACAACTGTTAAATATCAATATTTGAGTATTAAGACGAATAGGACGGAATCAATTTTACATCGATTTGTAAATTGAATTCGTAGACTAAAATCATCAATAATAAATAAATGTTGAACAAGAACTGTAAAAATCATTATTATCTTTGTGTTGTTCATGAACAACTAATTTCTTAACTACTAGAAATTATTAGATAACAAGTTTATTTTGACTCAAAATAAAATAAAAGTTTAAACAAGTAGCCGTCAGTGATAAATGTACTTGTACATGGTCTTATCATCAAATATCAAATTTTGTTTTCAATTATTTTTTTTAGAAATATCAAAATAACATCGAACTATGAATTCAACCTAAATTAAAAAAAAATAATAACCTAAAATCAACTGCTATTAACATGGTTTTTATAAATTTTGATAATATTTTGATATCCGACTTTGATCGGAGGACGTCTACATTGTAGCTAAATGTTGGCATCAATGCATCATGGATGTTGCCAATTATTTTTGCTGATTTGCAATGTTTTTTTGTAGTATTGAAACAAAAATAATAAACGCAACTCTAAATTGAATACCTCAAATGGGGAGCGAAACGTAAATTTGCAAACTAATTCTTGCATTCCAGAAAATTATATATATATATTATATATTATTGCTTTATATCAATAGGCTATGATGATGCTGTCGTTCCGCATGATTACTTATTATATTGAGTGTTTTGTTTAGATTTTGAAATCTCAAATTGAAAAATATAGATATTGGGAGAAATTGATAAACCTGATGACTCTCTATAAGATATTTTTTATTAAATTTGGGTTCCCAAAATTCTTGTACGAAATGTACTTTGGGAAGATATTTATTAAAAGGTTTAACATTCATGTCAATGATCCATACACAATCAAAACATTAAACGTTGCATATGTTAGGCCCCTCCTTGAGTACTGTAGTATAGTTTGGGCTCTATATCAAGATACTCATATAAACCGCATTGAATCAGTTCAAAAACAGTTTCTATTATTTGCTCTAAGAAAGTTAGGCTGGACGAGTTTACCCTTACCATCTTATGAGTCTCGATGTATGTTGATCAATTTGGATGCACTTGAAAAGCGAAGGCAGTTTGCAATGATAGCTTTTATAAACGATGTTTGAGCACAAAAAGTGAATTCCACACACAGAAAAAAAATCTGAATTTTAACTATCGCGTAAAGTCTCCCTTCGTTTAATTTTGAGCTGTTCTTGGCATAAACAGTGAAATCCTTTAGAAGCTTGCATACAATATTGCTAATTTATGCGATATTGCGCTTAAATTTAAACAAAACATCACGTAAATTTATGTCAAATCCAGCGCAGAAATTTACGTGAATTTTTCAAACGGTGCAGAGATTTTAGAAAATCTAAATGTTTATGCTCCCACTCGTACCTTCAACTAATATTAACAACCAAAGAATAAACTATGCCTGGAACACGCCTTTAAATAGAATGATGTCTTGTTATCATTAATATTATGAAACAATTGATTTGACAATTAACAAAAATGCACTTAAAAAACGTTTCTTTTCTAGGTTAGTTAGAGATTGAAAATTTAAATTAAAATAGATGTTAAGTGTTTTTGTAATTTAAACTGGTCTACATTTGATTGACGACAAATAAATAGATATCACATATTAAGCTTATTGTTCTAGATGCACTTCCACAGTTATTAATTGAGAGCTTTCGATGCCTGTACCATTTTTCCATTAGTATAATTGTGTGGGAAGTACAATCATGCTCTATGCCCAGGGAAGTCGAGACATTTTCCAACCCAAAAAATTCCTAGACCGGACCGGGAATCGAATCCAGCCACGTTCAGCATGGTCTTACTTTGTAGCTGCACCTTTATCGACTGAGCTAAGGGAGGCACCCTAGCCTACTCATACGAAATCGTCTTAGCTACAAATAAATGACAATTAATGAACGCTTCCCTTTTGCACACCAAAGAGAAACTCAACCGGCACACATTAGTCTCATTGCATATGCATAAACCACGAAATTCAAATTCGAAGCACCACCATGCAGGTGTAGATCAGGTGGGAGGCGCAAGGCAGACCCAAAGGAAATGCCGGTGGTTTCAGTTACCGACCGTATCGTTAACATGCCCCTCAATAACTATCCCAGACCGGTTTACAACGCACACCGTTCGGAATTGTTTTCGTTATCTTCTCTGTTTTTTGCTCTTGGGTGCTGTGGGAAGTAGAACTTGTCAATATGTATAAGCAGTGTTAAGTAACAACTGCTAAATGCTTACGTCCACACTAGGAGACGCCTCTGTAAGAATATAATCCAAAGTATGAATGCAACCCAGCTAGCGCTGAGAATCAGAGCATGTCAAACTAGGCTGTTCAGCCTACGGTTTTTGAAGTGAGTGGATATCATTTTATTGTGCTGCATTGAAACTTGCTGGGATAAAGAATGCAAAAGATAGACACTGAAATTGTTATTTGATCAAAGTCTTATTTTACTTGATGTGCAATTTGCTTCATCAAATGACATTTTGTGAATGTTTTGCATAGACTGTTAGTACTTCTGCAGTTAGATATTTATTGAGAGCATTCTAAGCCTACTGTTGAGACAAGCACAACTACACATTTACGCCCAGGGGAGTTAAGAAAATTTTCAGCCCGAAAATGTTCTCGTTCAGACTACTGAAAATCAATCATACAAACCCAGTAAGATCTGCTTTACAGCCGGTCACTAAAAGCTTTCTGCTAATCGAGGTGTATTGCCCGTTGTATTATGTGAAAGTTTCGACATTAATCAACACGCATGAAATTACGTTAAGTAAAACACTTTCATTAGTGCATGTATGTATGATGATTTTGCAGCTTCACAGTAATATGATGTTGCAGCTTAGCAGAAGAAATTTTCATTCATTAGATTAATACATGTTTTGTACACACGCTCATGACTCAACAGCTATGATTCACCATTATTGAACTGCGAAAAAATAAAGCGTAACAAAGCGTAAGATTGTTCAATTACCTTTATTTACGAAATCTGCAAAGAAAAGACATGATGTAATTTCGCCAAACTTTAATTTATCGCAAACAACCAACGCATATTGGATTGTTGGGAAAAATAAAATAATTAAAAAGACGGCAACCATGAGTTTACCATTCCGTTCCGTTTATATTACACGTTATTGCTGGTTTACTTCATTTGCCAACAGAACTAGCTTCTTAAATCCATCAGAAGAACTCTATTTTTGGCGATGCAACCTCCGCAATCCCAAATTTCCTGTGCACCGCAGGTGTGTTTATAAATGCTGCAGACGCGTGGGAAGTCAAGTGCAAACAAGACATCGAAGAGGTTCACAAATTTCACGCCTAACCAAAAATAGTTGTTTATAGGATCAAGGTGCGGTGGTGCAGTATAATTGGTTAACTAATTTAATCACTAACGGAAGGGGTTCGTTCTGGATGTGTGAAAGGTGTTCACTTGGAAACGAACTTCCTACACACATTTGCGGTTTGTTTTAAGCATCTCGGAATTTTTTTACCGGGATTTGCACAGCCAAGTACTCGGCAAAATGGTATTCTGAGATCTCAGCAAAATTGAAGATTGCTTGCTGAGATTCAGCAAAACATTTTCCGAAACTCAGCACTTAAGCAAACATCACTTATGCCGAGATATCAGTAAAATATAATTCCCGGGAACACAGTTGTCCAAATCTCGTCCGAAATTGCCGAGATCGGGCAAACAAAATTAGGTATGAATTTAAGATTGTAAGCCCCGCTTCAGAGTTTAACGTAATGCATAGGGCGAAAGCACTTGAAAATACAGTTGGTCGTTCAAGTTGATTGGATATGAAAACAAATGTTATACGAGGTACTGCTGAATGCAGAGTTAATGAAACCAGCATGCAGCTTCATTTGGATCGGTTGATTCGAATTAAATCATTATGATTATGTAGAGGCATCTTGAGCAAGGTATTGAAGCTTTCCTGCTGGATTGTAATGCTACTTTTTTTCTTGGCTTACAAGTCCCAACTATAACATTGTGCCTGCTCTTAACAAGTATTCTTTGAGCTCTTACACATTTTGCAGCCTCATATGGTATTACCACACAAGAGAAGTGCAATTCACTCATTATAGAAAAATAGTCGGAGTGCATAGTAAAATAGAGTGCGATTGGTGAAAAATATTCTTTCCTTTATCCAAATGTGTTATTTCATTTGAAACGCTTTCATGATATTTAACTTTAAATAATTTTGGTGAAACAAAACGATAACGTTTTTGAATGTTCTTGAAAAAAAAACTTTATATAAATGTCTACGCTCAAACTCCGGAAACATAATGACAGCTCCAATGTAATGTCAATTTATCCTGGACATCTGGGTTATCTGGTTCTGTCAAATTGAAAATTTTAATCAGCTCTTATTTCGCAATTGTGGTCTTTTTTCGGTAATTCATATCATTTTTAATCATCCTATTTATTGATAAAACTGGCGCAATTTGTCGAGCAGATTTTATTGAATAATACTTAATGTAATGATTGTAAAACGGCCTACACTGATTGACGACAAATAAATAAATAAATAAATGCACATAGTTAAAATCTACGGATTATTAACTTT